TGGAAGTTGCCCTAGTACCTCGCCGTCTGCAGGCTCGAGTACCGGGGGGATTTGGTTCCGTGGGGGTAGGGTGACCTCCCCCGGGCGCGGGCCCTCTGGGTCGACGCAATGGTAGATCTTGGCGTTGGCGTACCCAAGCTAAATGGTGATGTTGCGCTCGAGCTCGTTCTTGAAGCGGACGGTCTGCGACGCAGGGGGGGTGGGGGGGGGGGGGAGATGTGGGGAGCTGTGGGGAGGTGTGTGGAGGGACTGCGCATCGGGCTTGCGTATTGGCCTTGCGCGGCGGGCTTGCGCGGCGGCGGCGGGGAGAAGAGGAGCGTGCGACGGGTGTGTGTGAGGGCAGCGAGGGCGGTGGAGGCGAGGGCGGCGGCGGCGGCGGTGACGAGGGAGCGTGTGGCAGGCGGCGAGGGCACGGGTGGGGTGGGAGCAGGGGGTCGCGATGGCGGCGGCGGTGATGGCGGTGGCGGTGATGGTGGCGCTGAGCGGGCGCACGCGAGAGGGTGCGCTGTGCGGCGGCTGCCTGCACGCCAGAGATGGACTTGACGACGGTGGACTTGCCGTGCGCCACGTGTCCGATGGTGCCTGACGGCGGAGCGCCCAGCCTCTGGGTGCGTCGGAACGTCCACGGAGGTCTACCAGATGCGCAGCGGGGCAGGGCGGCAGAACGGTGGCTACAGGCAAGGCCGAGCGAGGCCCGCTCCGCGAAGAAGGAGGTGGAGGCGGAGGCGGAGGCGGTCGCCGGCGCGGCCGGCAGACACGGGCGGGCGGCGCCGCGCACCGATGTTGATCGTCGCTTGGCGCGAGATGACCTCGGGCGAGAGCGGGTTGAGGGTGGAGACGTCGAGGGTGGCGAGGTCCTGCTTGGCCAGGCCTGGCTTGTCTGCCGCCATGCTGGGCGACTCTGCCTCGGCTGCGACACGCGTCGGGGTGCGCTCCGAGAGAACTCGAGCTTCCTCGACGAGTCGGGCTGACAGTCGCGGCTCTCACACGCGCTCTTCAGAAAAGAATTCTTAAGAGAAGCCTCTCTCACAGCACACTGGCACGACAAGGGCGCAGACTGGCGCGGACTGGCACACACACAGGCTCACCACCGGAGCCGCCTAAGCGACTCCGTTAAGAACGGCAATGCACTCCGCACCATGCACAATGCCGCTCTCCCCGCACGCTAGCTCGTTCACCGTCTGCCACGCCACGGCGGTGTGGAGGACGACAGACAAGCGCTGCATCTGCAGCCCGTGCCAGTTCTTGGTGGTCCATGTGACCTCGTCCAGGTGCTGAGCGTGCGAAAGTTTATTGCTCAGCTGGTTCGCCGCCTCCCTCAGGGTGCTGCGAACCTCCTTTCCAAAGCCTCCGAAAGCCTCAAAATCAAACAAACGTAGATCGCAATCCTGCTGCCGCGCAAAGGGGTAATCGCCAGGCTGCTCCGTGAGCTTTCCCTTGGGGGCATCCTCCTCCTCCCCCTCC